AAAAAGGAGCAAAGACTCAAGCTCTTCCTGGATTTAAATCAAACTGCTGTCTATCCAGCTTGAATGCTGAAAGAAAGTCAAATTTTGGTACTCTTAAGCACATGTATTACAAAAGAGGTAAGATAGCATCTGTAGCCTACCCAACACAGCTATGAAGGGGCTGAAACAGACAGCCAAGAGCAGACAGTGAACAGTCAACTAAGACTTCACTTCACTTTCAGCTCACATGTTTTTTTATGGTTATCAAACAAAAAAGTATCTGAGAAGGTATCTGATGAAATTAACTTTTATTTAATTATACCGATAAACATGTGTCAATAGCTCTCATGTCTACTGTGTAGGTTCATATCCCTGTTGAGTCATGAGAATCTTTTCAATTACTTGGAATATCAGCTTTTCCATATACCACACATGCCCTAATTAACATGCCAGTGAACATGTATGTTCAACAGGTCAGAGAGAGACACAGACCCCAGAGAAGCTAGCTGCACTCATGGAACCGGTGCAGGGTCACAGCTCCTTCAGCCATGAAACGTCTGAAAAAGGCTTTTTCTCAAGGAAAGCAACTACCCTCTGTGCAGGGGTGTCTGAGGTGCCATGAGCCATTGCTAAGTGTGGCTAAACCTGAGAGCAAAAGCCACATCTAAAATGGAGCATGATTTAGCATCAATCAATAAACCACTTTACAACAGACCTCCTCTTAACTGACCAATTTATAATTGTAAATACATTAACAAAACATAGTGTAAAATAAATAACTTAATAAACTTAGTGATTTTTTCAAAAACAGGACTGCAGGGTCCTCAGCAAAACAAACGTTAGCCAGTTCCTGTGTCCTGCTGCAATACCGGGCGCCGTGTCCTTTGGCAGACAACAGCCAGCCACAGAATTGACTAATGCATTGATTTCTGCTTGGGTGTTTGAGATGGGTTTTAGTCACACAAATCTCGGGTTATTCAGAGCCCGAGGGCAGGTACAGTCCACCTGATAGATGCTCCATGACAGAATTCAGTCACTGCTTTGACTAAAGACAAGCAAAGCCAGGGCATGATACTGAAGAACGTGCCTTCTGGCAGGGGCTTTTTAATGGTAACTCCAAATACTACTTTGCAGTTCATGGACTATTGAATGATGGATACAGAATAAACTTGAATCAGTGATCCTATAAACGGCATTACCTTTTGTTGGGTCTTCACATACTATAATTTGCTAGTGTGGCTCCTGAAATAATTAAACCTGCTCACCTGATTAAGCCATTATATAGACACTTCCTAAGTGCCCCTTTATGCTCTTAGACAGAGCTGAATCTGTGCTCAGTCCCAAAACACACAATTGTTACCAAGTAATTAACAGTATTTCACTGGGACTTCTAGTTAAATAAATGAGACTTTCTGTGAACAGATGCGTTCTTACCAAACATTCAGACAAGAATGGAAATAGGATTTGCCACACTGGATCAGACCACTAGTGCATCTAACACGGAATTTGCCTTTGGCATTGGCTTGATTTTGCAGATTTGCAAGAAAGTGACAAAGAAGGTCTAATTAAAGAAAAAAGAAAGTAATTAGATGACTTACATGTATAAAAGCGGAGAGAGAAAAGGCAAGGGAAATAGCAACTTCTTACTATTCTATTTTCATATAATAAATTATGCCCTTTATCAAGGTTTAATTCATTGTTCAAGGGTATAATTCTGCAACCTATCCAAAGAAGAAACAAAAACAATTTCAAAGTATTCTCATAAGGACCACAAATGAGAACAAACTTAGCAATTCCACAGCTAACGGTATCCTGACAGATGGAGCTCCATCTGCCAAGCACTCACATTAGATAAAGGAATTCTAAAGAACTGATGGAAAGGAGGGCTTCAGCAGGTCCAAGGAGAGACCTTCCTCCAAGGTGGCTTCCTAAGGTGCAGTTCCTTATGTTTCCTACGGGAGAACTTGGGACACCTGTATTCCCTCCTCTGCAGTTATCTAAACTAAGTTCAACTAAGCTACTTTGGAAGAAGAGTTCATAACGCAGAGCAGGGGCAGCAGGTGGCAGTGGGGCTGGTGGTGGAGCAGGAAAGCGGCAGCAAAGACACACTGGAGCCACTGGATTGGGGTCATCAGCAGTGGAGTTTGACCCAGACTTTCTTTCCTTTCCCTGCCTCCCCCCGCCCCCAATTTAGGACTACATTTTGGAAGATGAGAATTGCTGCTCACAACATACATACTTAAAGATGTTTTGTGGTTAACAAGAACTAGCTTTTATATATTTATATTTATGCATGTGTGTATTTATCTAAAAGTAACTAAAACTAATCTAGAGGTAGATAATGTGATAAAGCACAGATTTCCCTCCTTGTGCTTCTTGATAGCCGCAAGATGGCCAGTACTGATTAGCCTGATCTAAACTGGTGGAGTTACTAAAACCATCAGGAAATATTCCTCTATTTCATTATGACTAAACCCTTCCCAAGCAACAGACGGCTCGGTCTAGATTCATCTAGGTTAAATATTTACCTTTCTCACAGATAAAGACAATGGTCACGGGATGTTATGGTCTTGGGGAAACTGCTCGAGAGAAACTAACCTTTTCTATCTAAGAAAATATCAACTTGAAGGAAATTGCCATTCGCTGTGTGCACCGCAGAGGTGCATGAAGCAAGACACTAGACCAGGACACAGAGCAGATAGAGAACACATTTCTTTCTGTCTTCAGCACAATCTCCCTTGGGCTCAAAACTGAACAACCAGTTTCATCAAACCAAACCTAGAAAGAAAGAATATTTTTTGGCTGTGAGATAATTAAAATATTGAATATTATTGAAAATACTTATTTGCAATAAGACTTGACCAGAGTATTCAACTATGTTGGGCAGCACCTGAAGAACAGTATTCTATAAATCAGTGCTTTCTTGCAAAACAACAACCCTCTGCCCTCACATACACATAGAAGTGGTAGGTAATCTTAAAAATCCCCTGATTCTTACAGACACACAAGCAAATGTGACTATGTTTACTCTCCAAAAGCAACAGTACAATCTCCACCAAAAAATGTGGAGAAATACAATTAAATTTTAAATGTGGCTGCAAAATAAAGGCAAAGGAGCATGCCAAGTTGCCAGAATGTCCCGTGGAATGCCAGAAGGTTACGTGAGCTATTTCTGAGGTTAGGCTTTGCTGGAGATGGAAACTAGAGACCCGGGGAGCTTCACTGTGAACTTTCCAGTACCGAGTTCCACGTGCAGCCCCTCTCCCCAGGGTCCCAGGGTGCCACTGTGCACGGCCAATGGCGCAGGACGACAGAAGCTTCTTGAACCAAGCCAGATGCTTCCTCTCAGAAACAGTTTGAGCTTGAATGATAAAAGCACTATACATTTTGCATCAAAAAAGTCTTAACATCTCTAAAGTACTTAGTTATCCCAGATGCTTGTCATGAGATTAATTCGCAGCTAAATACTGCCTAAGTTGCCTCTATACTAACTACAGCTCTTTGCTCTTGTGCTAGAGTTGAGAACATTTGGGCAGTCTATTTTAAGCTCCAACTTTTGTCACTTTATCATCCAAGTCTTTGTGGCTACAGTAGACAGCTGCTGTTCAAAAAGCAGGTTTTGAAGAACAAGACCACCGTGAACGCAAAGCTCCAGCTCATTAAGACAACATCTGCAGCAGTCTCACCTTTGTGTAGGTAATGCCATTTATTAATAGTCATTTAATTTTCAAAAAAAATAAACCGCTGTCTTTACAAGTTTGATCTGTTTTCCATAGTGCTTTTGGTAGTCAGTGGTGGTTTTGTACTAGTGACTAACCTTCAAATAAATAAATAAATGCAACCTCACTCTGATCAGCAGAGCAATACAGTTACAGTATTGTTCTTTTTACTCCCTCATCTACATTAATGATTTTCCATGTGTACTGGGAATAAATCTATACTTGTACTCATCACAGCAAGAATTCCCTTTCAGTAAAAAGGGATAAAAATGACTTCTGTTTAAAAGCAAGAGGAATCTGTACAGAAATCGGCAGAAATACTAACACACAAGCCTTAATACACTGGAATAAAAATACAAAAGGAAGTGTAATCCTCCAGACATCAGAAGTCCTTTTTCAGCTTTGTGCATTGATACTGTCTTTTATTTAAATAGTGGAAAAACAAGGGCCATTTTTTTGACTTTTTTTTCCTCTCATTTTAAAAAGTATCCTACTTAACAGAAACCAAAGAAAGAACATATTTTAGCTGGACCTTCCCTGTCCTGGTGTATTTTCATGTTTCTATTTTTTCTATTTATTTTTAGCAAAGATATTTTAAGTTAGTTCAATGGGATATAAAAGAATCTTTGGGGTTGTCCATTCCAGGTCTGTGCCACCACAGGAAAAGCGCAAAACTAAAAACAGTCCAACTGTTCAAATCCTGTCTTTAAGATAATTACATATCATCTGTCACTGCCCGTTAGCGTGCTGGGCCAGAACACACCCTCGGTGGCTGCCTCATGGCCGCTTTGCTTAGGGTTATGTTTTCCTCAAGTAGGCCTTTTCTTTCCCTGTATGTGCAAAAGCAATCACTTCCCAACCTTCATTTTGCCAAGATAAATAAGTTCCTGGCTACTTTTGTTCTCTGCTGGTTGCGATAAACTGTCCTTTGCCTTATCAACTCAGCAACTCTTTTCAAAGGTATGAACTAATCCTTCCCAAAGCGGGCCAGGAACCAGGCCAGCACGGCCTGGTGCCAGCGAAGGCGCTTTCTGCCGAGGGCATCCCGCCCG